GCTCTTTCAGTGCCCTGCTTAGGCATTAACTATGTGACTGTAGCTGCTGTGTGATGAGGTGCAAGGGCAATCTTGAGAAATTTACAATCTCAGTTCCACAAAGGAAAACTGTAAAGACACAAAAGCATCTTTAGCCCTTTCAAACCTAACCTATTAAATATGGTGTGAGTTTTTAAAAGTTTATTAAGCTTTAAAAATACATTACAGCTAACATTTTAAAAAAAACATTATATGTAATAGCAATAGCATTTAGACTTATATACCACTTCACAGTGCTTTCCAGCCCTCTCTAAGCGGTTTACAGAGTCAACATATTGCCCCCCAAAAATCTGGGTCCTCGGAAGGATGGAAGGCTGATTCAACCTTGAGCCTGGTGAAATTCGATTTGCCAAATTGCAGGCTGATGGCAGTCAGCAGAAATAGCTTGCAGTTCTGCATACTAACCACTGCACCACCACGGCTCATAATAATATGATAAACTAAATAACAAAATTATTATTATTACTGTGTATAAAATTATTACAGTATTTTAAAAGATAAAATACTTTTTTTATAGGGGGGAAAAGGAGAAAGAAAAGAATCCCTCTTCTAAGCTATGGAGAAGGGGGGAAAGGGTAAAGAGAGGAAAAATACACAGAACTTCTAAAATGCAAATCATTGAATATTTTAACCAGGGATGAAAACAGCTAAATGGAATTATATTGCCAAAGACTAGAATACTAGAATTCTAGAATTCCACATACAAAGAAAGAAAGGAAGACGGGGCTGAAATGAGAGGGAGGAAAGACAGGCCTTGACAGTCAGTGGAGATTCCAACTGTGGGAGACCCAATCAAAACTGGGAGAAGAAGAGGTGGTGGGTGATGTCGGGGTACATCCAGGGGTGAAATGTAAAATTTGTTACTACTGGTTCTGTGGGCGTGGCTTGGTGGTGGTGGTGGTAATGTGACTGGGTGGGCGTGGCCAACGTTTTTTTTTTTAACTTTTCAAAGCATTTTTTCTAATGCTTTGAAAAGCCTCTCTGCCGATCAGGCAACTCAGCTGGGATTGTCAGAGAGGCTTTTTAAAAAATGCTTTGAAAAGCCTCTGACGATCCCAGCTGAGCCGTACGATCATCAGAGGTTTTTCTTTTTACTTTTAAAAGCATTTTTTCATTGGAAGAGGTTGTAGAAAAAATGCTTTTAAAAGTAAAAAAAAAAAGGCCTCTGATGATTGTGCGGCTCAGCTGGGCATGGCGGGGGGTGGGCGCAGGGATTTTTGCTACCGGTTCTCTGAACCACCCGCCGCCATCGCTACCGGATTGGGCTGCCGCTATCCGGTCCGAACTGGGAGCATTTCACCCCTGGGTACATCCTGGTGGTGGAAGTTCCCTGGAAGTCATAGGGCAACAATAAATATAGTAGTGATAGGCTGTGGTCCTAAGAATCCACCAGCCTAGAAGAAAGACAGAGGAAAGTGGTTAGCATAGCAATAGCATTTAGACTTGCAGTATATACCACTTCACGGTGTTTTACTGCATTCTCTTAGTATTTTCCAGAGTCAGCATATTGCTGCCAACAATCTGGGCCCTCATTTTACCGACCTTGGAAGAATGGAAGATTGATTCAACCTTGAGCCACTCAGGATCAAACTCCTGGCAGTGGGCAGAGTTAGCCTGCAATACTGCATTCTAATCACTACCCCATTACAGTTCCTACATCCCCTACCCTTAGGAGTGCCAAGTAGCTGAGGGAGAAGTACTTAGTGATGTGTAGGACTGGGGTCTCATGATAGAGCTGAATCTAGCATGGAGAATAAAAGTCAGGTTGGGAAGAATAGTAAAGCAGAAGATAGAATAAGGTTAAAGAAAATAAACCAGAGTTTAGAAGATTAAAATAAGCTTTAAAAATATTAGAATTAGGATAAAAATGTTGATTGCAAATTGGAAGGTGACAAGTGGTCCTTTTTTGCAATGAAAAGCATTTTAATAGTAAAACATTTTCTAAATTCATTCATTCATTCAATTGGAATGAAAACCAAATGGAATTGATGTACAGGCACCCTTCTTCAGATCTGTATCATCCTGATCCCATACTTACATCATTATCTCTCTCCATACTTTTCTGTCTTTGCACACGTCCTATCATTGCTTTACACTCTTTTGTTTTCTAAATCTATTTTGAGCAATTGATCAATTATGAACTTTTAAGTCATTGCTAGCTCTTAGTGACCACCTAGATTTTCTCCAGGACTATCTGTCCCTAATCTGGTCTTTCAGGTCTTCCAATAATGTATTCATCTCCACTATAAAAATCTATTTTTAATTATCGCATTAACTGTATCCAATATTTTTACTTTCTTTTTCCTTTCAGTCCATTCATTCATTCTTTATTTGTTTTGCAATTCAGTTTTCATCTATTCTGTCCATATGTCCAAACCATCTCAATATAATTTTATTTTATTTTAATAAAAGATATCAAATAAATAAAAAGATAAGGAAATAAACATACTTCTTTTATAATGGTTGCTTAGTTTTTTATACAATTCATATTCATCACATATTCAATCTTTTTTTTAAACTCAGATACATTTTAAGTATACACACCTTCTGTAAGTAAACCGCTTTGTTATTTTAATATTTCTCTAGTTACACAGGCAACCTTATAATACTTCCACATTTTCACAGCATACATTATTCCCTTTTCATCAATTTTCCTGGACAGTAACATTTGTAGCGCTCATTTCAGTTCCATTCATCAACATATAATTGTATTTCTCATATACATGTCTAAAATACTTCTTCCATCATTTCCTTGCTTCAGTTTCTTCCCAAATAATGTAATCACTTTTATTTTTAATTTAATTTGCTTTGCTGAAAGCTTTTTATTTTTCCCTCTTCCAGATAAATGTTCCTTTTCGTCAAAATTATGATGCATTTTCTTGGTCTTTTTTAATCTTAACCATTTCTTGTAATTTCTTTTTGCAAATAGATTTCCCCCTCTCTAGACATTAAATAATATCTTTCTCTCAACTTCATATTTTTTTACTGCAATCATCTTGTTATAGGTATTTTTTTCCTTCAGTCACTGCCCCTTTGACTTTATTATTCCACAAAATATTCTTTTTCATATTTCTCATACTTAATCTATTTCTGTAGCACTCTGTAACAGAATTCTTTTCAGTTCTAAGTAGTTTCCACCTATTTTCTCTAGGTCTACTTTTCATTCATTCTGTTTGGAGATTGACTTATCATCTAATATTTTTTTCATATATGACTCATTTTTCTCTTTTTGCTGGCATGTTACTTTCATTCTAACCCCACCTCCCTTTTCCTATGTCCTCTCTATGGTCTATCCCAAATTCAAAATCTCTCTATTCCTCTCAACTTTTTCTCATTAAAAAAGTGTATGTTTTTATATTTACACTCATCCCTTTGCTATATGTACATATTAGATTTAAATTTGACTTATGTATTTAATTTGTACATTCATCAACCATGATTCTCATTCATTTGGGATTTTTTGAATGTTCCCTTTTTTTTGTATTTTTGTGCTGTTTTCACTCACCTTTTATGTTACCTAGCTGATCAGTCCTGATTATGTTCATTCAGAATTTTGCAGTTTTTTTCTCCTAACTCATCTCTGCTTTTGCCAGCAGAATATCTGGAATGTCTGGAAATGTCACCATTCACTGAAGTCTAACATGTAAAGTGTACTTGTAACCAGGCTATGGATTCTTACTTTTATCAACACCCTGAACAACCTAGATGACAGCAATTTATATATTTTTTTTAACCTATGGTTTAGTCCTTTATTCATAATTAAAGCCAACCTTTCATTTTTCTGCAAGTATTATCTTTATTTCACACAATCTATGTGACTATCTTCATTTAGAACTACCTTTCTCTTTTTCTTAGTTTCACAGACACAGAACATATTTTTTCTTTCATTTCATTCATTAATAGATTATGTTTGGTTTTTCATTTCATTTCATTTATTTATTGGATGTTGTCAACACTGATTCCAAAATAACTTTGGGTGCTTAGAGTCTTCTTATGTCTCAAGCTGCACTTTTCCTTATAATATAAATGCTACCATATGGGGCTGCCAAGATTGATAAATCAAGATCAATTTTATAATTTTTTAGTAAGGTAGAGTTGTAGACCAGGTTAGGAATTTCAATCATACAGTACCTATGCCACATGCAGTACTACCAATCACTTTGACATTATTGCCAGTGTGCCATATCTTCCTCCAAAATCTAATTTTAGTTGAAGCACACTCATGCTGTTTTATGCAGTCTAGGATCTCTAGTTTAGTGCCAACTAAGCATTGCCCCCTACTAGGAGGTATATGCAATATACTGATGTCAACTCAAGATACTTTCACAGTTCCGAGAGAAACAAGGAAAGTGATCTTTTGCAGGATTTTTTGGAACACAGTTTCAATCATAGAGTATTAAGTGAAAATAAGAATATTTTAAGGATTAGGGAGGGCACTCACACCACAGGCACTGGAGTACAAGACAGGTGAGATGGGGCGAGGCAGGCAAGTTGTAGTAGCAGCAGCCTTGGGCAGATGGTAGGAGCAAGGAAGACAAAAAAAAGGGGGGGGCAAAGGTGCTAGAATAGGAGACAGAGTAATGGGCTAAAGGGATTTAGAAGGCATCTTGGCCAGGACCCGCTTAGATGGTACCACTGGTATATACCGGGATAGCTGAGAAGAGAGAAAGAAATCTCAAACAAGAGCCTAGTGGGATGCTGGAAGTTCAAAGGCGAATCTGTAGGAGCCCGCCATCCAGCCTCAGGCCAGCCCAGTAGTCCTTATAAGGGAAGGCGGCAGCCGCAGCGGCAGCCGCGACGACGGAGGTGCAGGGTTGCGCTGGAGGTGGTGCTGAAAGGACAGCTCCCGTCCCTCCCCTTCTCCCTCCCCCTTTGGAGCTGAGCGGCGGGTGCTGCCTGCAGAACGCGCCGCCTTGCCCAGCACAGCCGCCGCTGGAGCCTCAGCAGCGGCAGCAGGAGCCGGAGCAGCAGCCATGAGCCAGGCAACCGCCGCCTCTCTTTCAGCAGCACAAGTAGCCGCCGCGTCCGCTCCCGCCTCCCGCGGGGCTCCCCAGCAGCCGTCCGCCGCCGCCGCCGCCGCCGCCGCCCGCGTCTCTCCCAGCTCGGCGGGACCATGAAGCGGCAAAACGTCCGGACTCTGGCCCTGATCATCTGCACCTTCACTTACCTGCTGGTGGGCGCCGCCGTCTTCGACGCCCTGGAGTCCGAGGCGGAGACGGCCGACCGGACTAAGCTGGAGCAGAAGCAGCTGGAGCTCAAGAGCAAGTACAACCTCTCCGAGGCCAACTACTGTGAGCTGGAAGGGGTGGTGCTGAAGCTGAAGCCCCACAAGGCCGGCGTCCAGTGGAAGTTCGCCGGCTCCTTTTACTTCGCCATCACCGTCATCACTACCATAGGTAAGGCGGTGGGCAGCTGGGCTCCGGCAGCGCCTTTCGCTGCGGCCTCAGGGCGCTTTCCGCCCGGCTTAAATTCCGCCCCCTCCTCCCCAGCCCACCAGGCACCCGCATCTTCCGCCTTCCCATTTGCAGTTTTGTCTCCTGCTTTTGTGTGTGTGCCGGACCTTTTGGCTGGTTTAGGAGTCTCTTCCTGTTCTCACGAGCAGGCTGGAGCGGATCAGCCCAGGAGAAGAGTTCGGCAACTTTATTCTGGGGAAAGAGACGATCCAAGAATAGAGATTGGGTCCCCCTTGTTTTCAGATAGGTCACTACTTTTGGGGGGCGGCAGAGTGGATGATATCTTGCTTCCTTCTAGCCTCCCCAAAGCTGGCTTACTACTGTCCCATCAACCCAGCACATCCGCTCTTTTACTCCCTGGGTGTGATGGCTGTTTTGGTCCTAGAGTACGCCGCCTGTGAATAGTTTTCTCTAGGTAGCTCTGAAGCGCCTGACTACATCCTGTGCCTCCTTTCCTGCTCTATCCCGCATTCTCGCCCCTGGTTTTCTTCCGTTGCTTTTGCGCTCCCCCACACCCCCCCCCCCCGGGGGGGGCGGTCGGGGGGGCTCACCCGCGAAGGCCTCCCGTTCCTCGGCGGTGCCTGGGCATCTCAGATTCTCTCTCTCTCTCTCTCTCTCGTGCTCTTCAAGTCAAGCCGTTACCCGCGAACGGCCTTGGGGCTCCCCTCCCCTCTCTTCTCCAGGCTCCCCAGTCTGGCTGTGGAAGAGTGTGCGCGTGTGTGAAGCCTGCAGTGCATGCTAAAGCAGGGGGAACAATGGAGACAAAAGATTTTCCACCGAAAGCACAGCCTTTCACTCTTCTTTTCCCCCACCCCGAATTTGTTTAGCCCGAGAGCGAGTGCGCCATATCTGAAGGCGTGTTGCGGGTTTCGGGTTATAATCCGTTGTAGCAGCTGCCAGTTGTGGGGCGTGGGGGGGGGGAGGAGGAGGAGGAGGAGAATACCTGTGGGGGGAAATTATCTAAAGGGTTCCAAGTCAGGAGCAAAGCTCAGCTTCCCCCCCCCCCCCCAAAAAACCCCTTCTTGGGCTGGGTAACTCCTTGGGCTAAAGAGATGAGAAAAACCACTGCATTTCAACCACATCCCTAAACTAGGCCCAGTGAAACTCTTCTGAGTAAATATGTGCAGAAGTGAGCTGTTAAAGTATCTATTCTGGAGCACGTGCTTGAGAAATTAGAACATTCTTTGCCTCTTTGAATAAACAGACTGACTTGAAGAGAACTCCACTGTATTTAATAGATTTCCTTCCTATGTGAGTCTGTCCAGGACTTCAGCCCTAAGGAGTTGTAGAATAGTGTTATTCTTTCCCTGTCCAACAAGTTTTCCCTTCCCTGCCTCTTGCTTACCAATCAACCCACTACCCCTTTCCCTCCTTTTCATACAGGTCCCTTAGAATTATTTAGATGTCCACATATTCTTCTCCCACCCACCCCCACCCACCCACCCTTTTTTTTAAGGGAGAAGAGATTTGCTTCCTGGTTCTCTGTTGTCCTGAAAGCATAGGGATGGTTTCTGGAGTCAACTCATCATGACTTTTGAACAATGTCTGAATTGTTCAAAATGAACAATATGAATAAAGCAAGAGCATCTTCTGACTCTGTCTGCAGTGCATACATTCCCAATCTTTTGCTTATCATCCTGATGGGAATGGAGAGGTTTTCCCTTGGCGAGAAGAGAATCAGGAATTGTGTTTCCACTCTGCTGCACAAGCAAGCTCAAAAATTATTAGGTCTTAGAAAAATACCTTATGTTAAGACCAGCAATCTTCCAATCCTTTACAGGAGAGCAAGTGTCAGTGTGTGGAATGGCACATATTGCTGAGTAAGCACACTCATAATTTCACTCATAGACCTCACCCACCTTATCAGGCAGGGAATTATTTTTGGTGCAGTAAAGGGGCAGGTTATAGCAAATTGTTCCACATTATAGGTGAGAATTGAGAAGGGGAAGGAGCTTGCTCAGTGCCCATTGGTGGGGAACTTAGAAAACTCAGTCACTTCAATGCAGAATTATGCCATGTTTGGCTAATGGCAAAGTTTTTCTTTATTTGCTGATAATTTATCTTATGTAAGAATCCATGCAGTCTTAGCTTGGGGGTGAGAGTTTAGGGGGGGAAAACATTAATAAAACAGACTCTTTGTGGGGAATGGATAAGAGGCAGCACAGATAGTAACAGATGAATTTTCAAACTGCATCACAAAATTTCACTTTTCCACTCTATTCGCAAGTCAGTTCGATTTCACAGTAAATGTTATTGTTGCATCTAAACAATTATATCCATATTTACTTTAAAGTGAGTTCTGTTGAACTCAGTAAAATTTACTATTAAGTAAACATATACTTGTGTCATCTGTGGAGTGAACACTATGTTCTTTTTATTTTTGTTCCAACATTTCTGTTCTTTAACAGGACAAAAGCCGTTTCTTTGATGCTTTTAAAACTAAACGTTATACATTTTGCAACATATTAAGCCTGCTTCAGATAGAGCATTTTTAAGGACAAACAAATGCAACTGGGTACAGTGTGACATGTAGAGGAAGAGATCAGTTTAAGCTTTTAATTCTTGCTTGCAATCAGATTAATTCCTGATTTATGTTGCTGCTACATAACAGAGTAGAATTCTGGCCAAAGCCTCACAGGGACCAGACAGCCTTGAAACAGCTTTCAATGAGTCCAAATTATTTTTTGAATCTCTGGCTCTTGAAGCATTTCTCTACACCCTGTCCTTCTAAGACAGCTCTTCCTGCTCTCAATCATTGTGTCTTATTTTTAGAACATTCTCGTTGCTTTGGATCATTTCTTTTAAAAATGCAAATCTTTATATACTGTCCTTGTCTTCATGGTCACAAAACTCTTTCAGAGGGACCATCTCTTGCCCTGCCTAATATAAGTAAAGTTCACCCTTCACTCAAAAGAATGAGATAGCACTACAGAAACAGCCATCGAATAATTAAAGCCCACTAGCTGTTAAATGCAATCACTGTCGACAATAACCAAAAGCTGAAATACCTATTGGGCAACCTTATAAAAAAGGTTGGTTTTGCATATTCTCTGAAAAAGTAGAGCAGCTCCAGATCATACAGATGGACATCATCTGCCAACCTAAGGCAACCAGAAGAAGTCTTGTGGCTTGGTCCACAGACCCTGATATATTTATTTATTTATTTATTGGTTCGATTTATATGCCGCCCTTCTCCAGAGACTCAGGGCGGGTTACAATGCATTAAGCAATAGCCTTCATACTTTTGTATATACCTGCTTAGTAAGGCTTTTGGCCCCCCCCTAAGCGGTGTTCTTTTTTTATACAAAGTCAGCTTATTGCCCCCACAATCCGGGTCCTCATTTTACCTATCTCAGAAGGATGGAAGGCTGAGTCAACCTTGAGCCTGGTGAGATTTGAACTCGCAGTAATTGAAGGCAGCTGGCAGCTAAGTTCTACTTTAACAGCACTTTAATCCCCTGCACCACCAAGGCTCTTGCCAATATAGTATTGGCATCACAAGTAGTTCCCACTTTCAGGAAGAAAAACGTCTGTTGGATTAAAGTAGGGCAATGATATATCTAAAGTTGGGGGATACCAGACTAGGAAGGGTTGGAGGCAGGGGTGGGTTCTACTTACCTTTACTACCGGTTCGCATCATGCATGCGCAGATTGCTTCTGATGATGTCCGGGTCAGTGGGCGGAGTCTCCCGCCGGTTTTACTACCAGTTCTATAGAACCAATCCGAACCGGGAGCAATCCACCACTGGTTGGAGGGTCATAACAAAGGTTCTGAAACTGCCCTCCAAAATGAAGTGATAGCTATTGGAATGTCCCCAAATTTAGCCAAATGAATCCCTGGAATCTGGACTTTAAAGGTAATGGTTCCTCGGCACATGCATGCTAGTCATTTCTGGCTCTGAGGCGGTGCTCATCTCTGTTCCTAAGCTGAAGAACCAGTGCTGTCCAAAGATATCTCCGTGGTCATGTGGCCGGCATGACTAAATGGTGAAGGTGCATGGAGCGCTGTTACCTTCCCACCAAAGTGGTCCCTATTTTTCTATTTGCATTTTTTTATGTGCTTTCGAACTGCAGAAACTGGGACAAGTAATGGGAGCTCACTCCATTACGCAGTGCTAGGGATTTGAACCACTGAACTGCTGACCTTCTGATCGACAAGCTCAGCATCTTAGCCACCGAGCCACCACATCCCTTTTTTGGACTTTAGCAACAGATTATCATTGTACTGCTTTTAACTTTCCATGGGGCAAGGGGAGTGACATCACATGTGTCATAATATCACTGTTCACTTGCCATCAATACAGGGCTTAGATGCTTTAGCCTCTGCTGACTGAAGTCTCCAAGTCACTTTTAAGGACTATTTAGTAAAGTAGTCTCTCTCTTCAAAGATGTAAAAGTATGGATCAGTTGATGCCTAACTGAGTTCACGTTCTCACTGCCAACCTTCAGTGTATGTTCTTAGACCTTGCTGGAATTCTGCATGCTTTAAAGTTGCTAATTTACCTTCTGCTAAAAGCAATTCCCCCTCGTAGGCATGTGCTTGAATTTGATCAAACTGAATTTGTCAACAAACCATAGCCGGGTTCATGTGTAATGCAAGCAAGGTATGATTTACTAATTACAGTAATTAAGTTTAGTACTGTTGACCTTGAAAGAAACAAAGCACCTTTTGGTTTAGCAATAAATGTGTACCCAGCCAAAGACTTTGTGAAGCTTATGTCTGAGTTAACATAGGCTTCTGGTACAAGTGACGATTCCACATGCATCATGACAATAACCCTTCTGTAAATTATGTAATTTGCATGAATGACATCATGATGCACACAATATATTTGCCTTTTTCTCGCTTCCTCCATGCCCTCTCCATTGCCGTGTTTTTGTTATTGCCAAGTAAGGAAAAAAAATATGAGCAGGAAAGTCATAATGGTTGAAATAACACAACA